AGGTGATAAACATGTGCTTGGGATCTTCTTATGTGTCCAGAGCCTCAGCTGTTAGTACATATTATGTTGAACTTTCAAATATCTTCTTTTGTCCAGGGACAAGAAGGCAGCTGGTTGTCGGCTGGTCTGGAGGGGTAGAGAAGACAAAGGAGAAGCATTTACCCAAGTTCCCCCTTTTTTTTCATTCAATGAAAAGACATTTGTAGCAAGTATCGTCTGCTCTTCAGAGATTTTCCAGTCAGAATTCTCTTTCCTCCTTACTCTGTGTCCATGTAAATGCTATAATTGCAGGGCTTTCAAAATATCAATTTTTAGATATTTTTGTAATAATAATGTGAAAGTCAAGTTAGCAAAGGAATGTGGCCAAGATAATCAACATTAGCCCTTTACAGCCCTGGCTGGCGTAGCTCAGTGGATTGAGCACGGGCTGCGAACCAAAGTGTCGCAGGTTCGATTCCAAGCCAGGGTACATGCCTGGGTTGCAGGCCATAACCCCCAGCAACTGCACATTGATATAAAAAAAAAATTAGCCCTTTACTAAATGGCTTAATTAAATGCCCATTTCCGTTTGTTCATAACCTTGATAAGTCATTCTTCCAGTTATTTCCTGCCCAAATAGGCTCACACATGTCCATGCACACTCACACTACACATACTGGACACTCACACATGCACATGCTCCCCTAACCACCCAGTCTAGAACCAAAACTAGATCAGTCTACAAACGGGATTGATGGCCTCAGACAGCTTCATTTACTGTTCCAGTTGTCAGACTGTTGTGGTGTATATTTAAGAAATAAAAGCTGGTAGTTGATGCCAAAGAAAAACAATCTCTTCAAACCGAGGGAAGGGTGGTTTGCCCTGTGGCATCGGTGCTCCTTTTGACACCTGTAGGAGTCAATCTAGTGTCCAGCACAGTGGCAGCCTGAGCTGCACAAATGCAACAGGCAATCACCAGAAGCCTTGTGATTTCCCTACCCCTCCTAGTTTCTCCCTCCTTGTCCTCTGCTTCCTGCCTTTCCAGTTGTCCTTTTCCCAGGCTGTCTCACTATGTAAGCACAATGGGGTCCATGGGCTAGCCCCTCCTGAACTCACTGCTTTCACTATTAGAGCTAATATGTAGGGCATTAAAATGCTCCCTTAATTCTACCCCTGCCAAGTTTCTGGAAATTCTCAAATTAGGCCCATTCTTTTGGACGTAGGTATTTCTGGCCACAACCATGTGTTCTCTGAGAGAAATAACACATACAGCCATCTGAGTGCGTATACCGGCATGAACCAAGCAGACATTGCCAAGCAGAGCGCAGAACCCTGCACAAATGGGTCACAGCGCAAGTGCATTTGGTCAAGAAGAGAGGCTCTGGAAGTGGCTGAAACATGAGATTCTTTCTGGGGAGCAGATGGGCTGATGGAGAAGGTGCAGTGCTAACATATTAGACCAGCGATTTTCAACCAGTGCGCCACAAGAAGTTTTAGAACAGGCAATACCTGACCATTTAGTCAGGGGCACTGACCTCTTTTTTCTTAGACTGTCAAATAAAAAGATGTCTTGGTGTCAAAGCTGTGACTGTGGTTTTCAGTTTAGAGAGGCACTTCTATTACTGCCTTCTTCTTTATATCAGTTTTGAAGAGAAACCATAGCATGTTAGAGCCAGAAGAGATTTCAGAGACAAGCGAGAGGAGCCACGCACGTACACATACACTCACTTCACTTTAAATGTGAAGTCATTGAAGTAAAGTAGTTTTCCCTGGTCGCAGAACTAGCCAGACAAGGGCAGAATCAAAAATTATCCTCAGTAAATATCAGTTCTACTTGAGAATTCCTTTCCCTCTGGGCTTTCTGATTGTTTTGTTACAAAAGGGAAAATAAAGAAAGAGGTCACTGACCTTTTTGTCTCTAGTGCATCAATCTCCTTCCCTATTTCTGAGTCAACTTCTGTTCATAACCGGCAATTTGGATGTTTTGCAGATTGACCTTCCTTTCTTTACCAGTCCGCTGACCACTGGGCTGAGCTGCATCTAGTCTTACACTTGGTTGTCTATCTCTTAGCTAGTTTTCCTCAGCAGTAGGTTTTAACTCTACCTCAGACGAGGGTTTCTTTATAATATAATACAATAGAGGAACTCTGAGAATTCAGTTTCAATTCATTTATCAAAGAACGTTTGTAGGGAGGGCACATATTTCTGATATTGACTTCAGAGGAGAGTGTGTATTCTCAGATGTCCCTAGTCCTTTTGTTGATAACTGTGCCACCTCATTTTTATTTGGCAGTTTTTGTCTGTGACTTTCCCTACAATGTAATTGCATGACCCCCTGGACGAGGGAGTATCATGGGTCATGGTGGATTTCCCCAGAAAGGAATGATGCTTTCTTCCCTAGACCTACACTGGAGGTGTTCAAGTTTTCATTAAGGGGTGGGGAGGACATCCAAGTGGTGAAGCCATTAATATAGCTTAAGGGTGGTACTGAGAACAAAATTATCTTAAATAACATAAAACCCTCAAGATACCTAGAAGCCTCTTTTCTATCTCATTCCTGTATCAGTGAGCGCCAGACTTGTCCTAGTTAGTCTTCTGTCTCATTGTCTGTGCTCCACTGAGACATCAAGTTTATTTTTCTCCTCTTAAAGTACTGGCTCCATATGCACAATTTGCATCTCTCATCACATCTCTCTTGCTCCTTCCTTCCTTTGAAATACCTGAACTTTCCAGTCTCTAGGCTTTCCTTAGACATCCTGGGACAAAGTAGCAAAAACAGAAAAGAGGGGCCCAGCTCAACCCAGCATATTGAAGGACCAAATCCATGGTTGACCTTTTACCAAATTCAGATTTCCCCTCTGCCTGCTGGTGGGAACTAGAGATGGCTTGCATCAAAAACATCTTTTAAATACAATGATATCTAGCATTTACTATATGCCAGGCACTGTTTCTAAGTGATAAATAGATATAGATCTCATTTATGTGTGTATATACAAACAGACATATGACACACATACTTGTATATATCAACTTAGTAATCTTTACAGCTTTGTGAGGTTAAGTACTATTATTATCCCCATTACACTGATAAGGAAAACTGAGATACAGCGGTTACATAGCTAATATATAATAGAACTGGAGTGTGAAACTTTTAACCACTATGCTATATTGCTTCTGTATACAACATTTTTTCAGAGAACTCACTACCTCTTAACCCAAGGACTTTAGCACAATGGAAAAATGGTTTTGCTTTCTAGTTAAAATGATAGCCAGAAAGTATAAAGTAGCATTAAACTATAGTGATCAATATACTGAACTTCCTGATTTTAAATAAGTACATTCACACTTGTAGGACTATATATCCCAGCTTGTGTGGTCTGAAAAACTTTTGTTTATTTTCTAAAGAAAATAAACTGAATTACAACCAAATTGCAATCTGCTAAATGATGGGAACACTGAATAATAATTTGGTTATAGGTGTCATCGCAATGCTACGGGCTTATTAATAAGGCTGTATGTTTGTTTAAAGCATTAATAATAAGCAAATCACTCAATCTTCATGATCTCTGAAGTAAGCAGGGTGGTTCTTATTCGTCCCCTTTGGTAGGTTAGGAAACTGAGGCCCAGAGAGGTTCTCACCTGTCTGAGAAGGACATTCATTCTCTGCCTCCAGGGCTTCTTCATCCTGTTACCTCAGCCTCTCCTGCCACATCTAGAGCCTCTGCGGACTAAAGTGCAAGTAACAACTTGTCCAAAATCTAGAGACTATTTTTTCTCTCTTTATTATTTCTTTTCTCACCCCTTATTACAAAGATTATACCATGATTTACCATACCAAACCAAATAGATGAAATAATATTCTCAAGGTGGATATTTACTCATGTTTTTAACTTACAGAATTTTAGAATCAGAAAGTAACTAGCAATTTAATTTCATGCTTTCCCCAATCTAGTTTATACATGAAGCCATGGTGATGACAGGGTATAGTGATTTTATTCAAAGGCACCACAAGTTATGGGAAGAATAGGAGCCAAAATCCCTATCTTCTGACTCCATCTATTAGTTCTTCCTCTCTACGGGGTGTTTTCCTGGTAAAGCCCTGAACTTACCTTGCTTGTTAGCCAGGTGAAGATTCCTTGTTTCTACGCAAACATAGGACTCATCTTTCTTCCATCACTTATGAAAGTGCTCAGTAAGAGTAGTTAGAAGCGGAGTAGTGTGGCAGGCCACTGAGGACCTCGTTTTATTAATATCATGAGGAAGAGCTATCAGTAAAGGAGTTTTCAGTAATTCAGCTAAACTCTTCATCATTTTTGGTGCTCATTCTGTTCAAAACACTACACTGAGCTATTTCCAAGTTGTCTGACTAGTAATGTCATCCTGACTGTGTTCATCATTTCAAATATCATGGGGGAAATGTACTCATACAGAAGTTAAGATAAACTGCATACTTAGCATTCAGATTTCTAACCAACCTAGCAATCCTACAAAGAACAAAATGATTTAACATAGCATATATTTCCTTAATTAATCTTCATTTGATTCTTATTGAACAGCACATTCTTTTTTACTTACTTGCAAAATGATGCTAAGTTGCTAGGAATTTGACACCTGGCTGCTTGGAGGAAGTGTGCAGAGCCCTCCCTTTCCTCCTTTCTGAAAGGTGAAATAAATATTTGTTCAGCTCAGCCTCCCGTTCTTCCCACTCTCTCGACGATGAGTGATCTCCCTGCTCTAAGATTACAAGTTTCCCTGAACCACAAGGAAGCTAAGCCAAGGGTGCTTCCCATCCTTAGGGAATGCAACACTGGTGGAGTAAGCTTAGCAAAGGTGGATAATGAATAAAAATATAGAAACACAAACTGACCCATAAGCTGCTGCTGAGAAGGCCAGTCTAACATTGCACTGAGAGGTTGAAGGTAGGTTGCATGAACCCCATCCAGACTTCCTTGCCCTTGCCTCTGCCCCAGCCCTGGTCTCTCCTGTCTGCCCTGAGTGGAGTCTCTGTTCTCTCCCCACAGTTGTGGACATGGATGGAAGACCTTCAGAAGGAGATGCTGGAAGACGTCTGTGCAGACTCAGTGGATGCGGTCCAGGAACTGATCAAGCAGTTCCAGCAGCAGCAGACTGCCACTCTGGATGCCACCCTCAATGTCATCAAGGAAGGCGAAGACCTTATCCAGCAGCTCAGGTCAGCGCCTCCCTCCCTGGGGGAGCCCAGCGAGGCCAGGTCAGCATGGGCAGTGCTTTCCAGTGTGAAATGCCTCGGACTGGACGCGAGATAAGTCATGTCCTGGTCTTGGCTCAGCCACAGCCAGCTTTGTGGTCTTGTGTGGTCTTCAGTTCCTCCATCTGTCAGTTATAAAAATGCCTGTACCATATTCAACTTGAGTTTAAAATGCAAAAGTAAACAGAAAAGTTCTAATGTTCCAAAGCATTATTTGCCATTCATGATGTTATTCAGCAACCAATAAATAACATAATTACAATAAAAATTAACAATGAACAGAAAAATAAATAATATCTTCATGAAGAAGTACGGCATATTTAGTCATATGGAGAAAGGCCATTATGGAATATAGTGTTCTTTGACATCTGATCTCAGGCTGAACTCCGAACTCCATTGCCCCAGTTGGCAAAATGTGACCGAAATGGTTAGCTTTGGTCCACAAGAATGCAGAGTGTGTGATGTCCCCCTCTGTTCTTCATTACCCACTTATGACTTTTCCACTATTCCTTGCTGCCTAGAAAATGAAAATCCTTCTGCACCAGCATAAACAAACATAACTAATGAGGGAATTCCTGTCTAAAACCTTACATTCATCTAGAATCACCCACACCATTGCCTCCTTTCTGTTGGTATTAATATCCAGCCTCCTGTTCCTGTCAAGAGCACTGACTCCTCAGATTATGTCTCACGGGGCCTTGAGCAAGCCCTCAGCAGCCAGCCCCGTGCCCAGGTGCTGTCTAAATAGGATCTGATGGTGCTAATGATGCCTGCCCACAGGGACTTGTTTCTATCCCAAAATCACTCAGCGTTGGGACTCCTGGCAGCTCTGGACAGAAATAATCTCATCAACAAGTCCCGGGCAAACCCTGGAGCCTGAGGGAATGACTTCAGTTGAGAGGGCTTCCTCCCGCATCAGTTTTAATTAAATAAACAACGAGAACTTACCTTTCAGTGAATGGCCCAGGCATGTTTTTCTGCTGGAAACTAATTATTTCTATTCTAAATATGCACATGAGATGTTCTGAATCTTCCTGTTGCATACTAACAAGACAGCCTCTTTCCCGTGGTCCCCCAATTCATCTTCATGAATATATAACATATGACAATTTTGTCTGCCTACCTAGGAAACTCCACTGTTATTTTTTTTCTCAATAAAATTCCAAATAGTGAGCAGTCACTTAACCTCTCTGGGTCTCAGCTGCTTCACCTGTGTGATCAGGGGCTCACTCTAGGAGGTCTGTCAGCTCTGGAATTTTGTGATGGCTTTATGTTTTCTCTCCAAATACTTTTCACAAGCTTCTGGGGCTGGGTCTATGGAGATGCCACTTGCCCTTAGCAACTGCCAGCCTTGCACAATGCTTAAAGGCAGAAGGCTGCTCAGAGGTGGTGAAGGCAGTGATGTGGCTGATGCCAGTTCCACAAGTTTAAGTTGCATGGATTTCAGAGAGGACCATAGATCTATGACCAAGACCCGCTGGTGACCATTGTTTCCCTCCTAGCCTGACTCTAGCCTGTGCTCTCCTCCCTGACATCAAGACCAGGCAAAGAGAAAAAGAAGTAAATGTGCCCAGGGGGCCTTGGCAGGATGCCTTCCGCACACTGGGGCATACATCTCCTCTAGGTCTGGCTTCCCGTCACCTCTGTAACTCCTAGTGAGTGTGACACTGACGTGGGTGCTGTGAAACATGTCTGAAATTATTCTCTTCCTTCTGGAAGGTGTGTGATGGAGAAAGACTGGGAGAAGCAATCAGAAAAACAATCATATCCTCCCCAAAGCAAAGTCCTCAACAAATGCATCATGCATAGCATTGACTACATTCTTCTATGCTTCACGATTGGGGGTCCTTGCCATGGTGGGGTTTCATGTCAAATAGGCCAGGGTTAGGAGGTAGAATTGGCAGCTCTCTGAATGATAGAGGGAGATGCTCTTGACAAACTGGTCTCATGTTCCCTTCAGAAACAGCCTGAGCTCAGATACCATTGCTTCTGACATGAACACAGGCTAGCTAAGAGGACTGGTTCTCAGAAAGCTTGCTGATGCGAGGATTCAAAACTAATGATCTCCTTCTTGTCCTCTGACATCTTAAATCATATAAGAAATCAAGATGTCACAAGAGAGTGAGTGTGCCCATTTAGTTCAAGTTTTAGGACTCTAGCTTACTTGGGACTCTGTAGAACGTTAACTTCTTAACCTCCAGTTTTCCTATTATAATGATCTCTTTGGAGGTCTCACCACCACCTCATTTCTGAGCAGGTCAGTATGTTTATCTCTTGGTTCCCTCTACAACCTGTCACCTTCCCCCTGGTACTTTGGTATAGACTCTCACTCTCAGAAAGCACACCCCTGCCCCCATCTTCCTGGCCGGATTCATCCTTTTCTTCTAATGTGGACAAACACATTCAGAACTCATTCTCTTTGAAACCTTGTTGCTGCCCCAGACTCTTGTGCCCTACCCTCTACTCTCCGCAGTTGGGCCTGTGCCCCAATCAGCACTTGAGTTTTTTCTTGTGTTTTTTTCAAAATTAATAAGCATTCATGTGCCACGTTCCTGGTCACAGAGCATGTCCACACACACTGTCTTACTTACTAGCAAACTGTGAAGTGAGCAGGGCAGGGATCATTAAGTCTACTTTACAGGAGGCAACTGGGGCTCAGGGAGGTCATTTCCCAGGGCCATCAGCCCATGTGCAGCAGAGTGGGGACTTAATCCAGGCTCACAGCCTCTGGGTCCCCTGCTTTTCTAACTACAACTTGAAGCCTGTGTAATCCCATTAGCCTATAACTTTGGCATAGCTTTATAAAACGGATGAATAATTTTAGTACCATGATCTTAGTTTATTTTAACAACAATCCTGCAAAGTGAAACTAGAAAGAGTTTTTTATTATATGTCCTTAATTTGTCTGCTCTTATGCATTGTGTTTAATGTGTCTACTCTTACGCATGTGTTTGTGTATATTGAAACTCTACATATCTGCATGGGACCATCCCAAAGCAACATTCTGTGCTTTGTAGAGCCCTTTCCTCTCCACTATCTCATTTGATCCTTTTCACAATTCTGTCTAAGGAATAGGAGAGCAGCTAGTCTTACGGCTGCTGTACTGTGAACCCCAAAGAGGATACATGTCTATCTCTGGTTCACCCACTGAGCAGCTAGTGCCTGGCTCTCAGTAGGACTTTGATAGACATCTGTCAGTTGAGTAATTCAACTGATTCACATCCACCTTGTTCAGAAGAGGAAGGCCCCCTGCTCCTGTATCGCTTTTAACATGGCAAGGCCCCTCCCTTCTTTTCTCCCACTCTGCCACAGGGACTCAGCTGTGTCCAACAACAAGACACCCCACAGTAGCTCCATCAGCCACATCGAGTCGGTCCTGCAGCAGCTGGACGATGCCCAGGTGCAGATGGAAGAGCTCTTCCACGAGCGGAAGATCAAGCTGGACATCTTCCTGCAGCTGCGCATCTTTGAGCAGTACACCATTGAGGTAGAGATGGCAGAGGGGAGTGCTGGGGAGGGGGCGTTCGTGAAGAGTGCTGGCAAGGCCTGCAGAATGGGCTGCTGCCTGGCCAAGGGGGCTGCCCCAAGGTCTGGCAAGGGAAAATTGACTGAAGCTTAAGGATACATTTACAGAAATCTATAAATTCACATTGCACCTTGTTATATTCCTCCATCCCTCTCACTTTCACTGCCAAGTAGAGTTTCTCTGTTTTACTGTCTGTCTAGGGATAACTTCAATGAGATGGTTTTTGTTGGTGTGCTTTGGACTCTTGGTATTTTGGTTCCTAAAAGACCATGGAGTTGGCTCTTTGGGGACTGAGGTAGAATCCTTGAATTCTGTATCTTCAAGAGTAGGTAGGTGTTAAAATCGGGTCTCCTCTGATGATGACTATAGATCAGGGATTAGATGACATCACACAGTAGCCAGGAAATCAGGAGCCACAGGAAGGAAGACCTGTATGTATCCTGAGTTTGCTCTCTGCTTATTAAGAAAGTAAGTCTGTGCCCTGCCCAGTGTGGCTCACTTGTAGTAACTTGTGTTGTCCTGTAAACAGAAAGGTCACGGGTTGATTCCAGTCAAGGTACATGCCTGGGTTGTGGGTTCAGTCCCTGTTTGGAGCATGAACGAGGAGCAACTGATTGATATTTCTCTCTCCCATAGATGTTTCTCTTCCTCTTACTTCTAAAATCAATAAGCATATCCTCTAAAAAGAGAAAGAAAGTCTGTGATAAGGCCATTTGGTGGTCATGTCATAGCCTTCTCAGTTCATTCTGAAAAGGTCAGAATTGAGTGTCTGGGTATAATTATGTCCCCCTTGTGACACCTATTAATAATGTCTGTCTCAAATAATATCCTCTTTTTATTATTTTTTGCATTGAAACGTTAACAACTCCAGGGCAGTGAGGTTTCTGGGGTGTGAAGAGTATCAGACATTTAGGTGCCTTGTTTTTCTCAGGGATTGCAAAGGGTCAAATTAAAAGCACTGTCCTCTCTTTGCTCCCAGCTAGTGTGGTGTAAGGGAAATCCAATTCTCTATCTACCATGTTTTAAAACTCATGTTTTGCATTTCAGCCATCTTCTCTGAGTTGGGACTTGTGCATGTCTGGGACTTATCTTTCCAACCGTAGCCTTGGAAACTTTTTTGGTACCGGTTTAGAAGGGAAATGTCTGTTGTTTTTTCTTTTTAATGTTGAAAGCTCCAACATCCCAATCCCACTCAGGACCAGAAAACTGTCCTGGCAACAGCTGCCCTTTGTTTCAGTCCTGAGACCAACAGTGTTTACATTTAGAATCAAAACTGTGAAAGAAAAGCAGTCCTTGCAGTCGCTTCCTCTCAGACGCCCTTTCTCTTCACATTGCACACCTCCACCCGCCTCCCTGGAAGCCACTGCAGTTTCTTGCTTCGAGATTTCAGGTTCTAAAAGGTTCCTTCTGGACAGTTTATGGGACAAAGGGAAAGATAAGTCTAGATATGACTATCCTTCTAACTTATTCCATAACTTTAGGTGAATGATTTATACTTTTTTATTTTTAGTTTATTTTGAATCTATACTCAAAGGATTTCAGGTAGTAATAAACATATATTGAAAGAACACTTTAAATGCCAGTGGAAAATTAAAGATATTGGCGTGCAGCAAAGAATGAATATGGTGGATTTCATAAAGGCAGGGCAATAAAGAAAGGCTAGAGGGGCTGGGAGTTATTATCCTTTGGTAATTGGGAGTAAAACTCACAGACATAAATAGAGGTTCCATTCGATGACAGTGATGTTGGCCCCAGGCCCTCCCACCATCCTTCCTCAGCTCCATTTTGCCCACAGAGCGTGAATACACCCAGAGGGAAATTACGTTAGCAGGTGTGGTGAGTTTGCCGGTATATTCCTTATCTACTCTCCTGTCATTCTGGGTCCGCATAAAAGAATAACAAGGGGAAGGAAACAATCTGAGAGTTGGATGTTTAAATGTTATTTCACTAGATGGCTGTGGTTTGGAGGTCAGGGTTGCTGGTTTATTTCCGGAATGTGACCATTAGCTTCACTTCACCATGGACTGCACCCCTGGTGGCAGCTGGGGGCATCACTAGGGCGTATGTGCTTGCAGTGATTCTCGGAAATCCATTTTCAGTTCTGAACAAGAATCCAAAGTATATGTTAGAAAAATCCTTTAAAAAAGAAAGCTAACTGTAAGTCAAATGGATCTTATTTAAATGTTGCAATAAGGGAACTTGATATTTAAATTGTGAATTTGCACTTTTTAGCTTTTGTCTGTACAAAAATTCCCCTCTCACCCTGATTTCTGGACAATAACATGGGCAGCTGATTACATATGCAGTAGAGAAAAAGTGGGGGCAAAGTGTGAGGGTCTAATACAATGAGTGAGATAAAAACAGCAATTTGGCCATGCACCCTCTGGTTTAGGCAGTGAAGGGGTCTTGTTCCTTATTTTGGGTGTGGCCAAACCTTGAGGAAATGCTACATTTCATCTTAGACTGAAATGGAAATCTTGCCAAACCTATGGAAAAGTTGTGCTTTGAGTCAGATTGTCAGAAGTTATTTTTGAGAGTGCTGCGATTATTCCAAATACCAGCTAGTGTTTCACTGTGGGGATGAAGAGCAAACATCTAGAGAAGCTTCAGAATGTGAACTGAAGGTGGTTTTTGTAAGGAGAGACATGTCAGAGCTGACATAAAGCAGGCAGGGGCTGTCACTGCAGGACCTACAGCCACGGGCTTCTTCCCTGAAGGAAGGAGTCTGGTGGACATATTTGGGATTCCCGGGGATTACCAAAGACCAGCGCAGGCCTGCTCCCCTGACATCTGGAGGTCTAAGCATGGCTCCTTAACCATATCTGATTGCTGAAATGGGGTAATCAACTTAAGAATTAAGATAATATAGGAGTTGCTTCTGCAGTTTCATTTTACTGAGTAAGATTGGTGTGTAAGACTCCCACAGTGAAACCTGGGGTGAGGTCATAGGCCACCCCCAATAAGAGTGAAATTTATCCCAAATGGATTAGGCAGATGCTCAAAATCCAAGACTACAGCTGCATTCCTGACATACATTTTCAGATGCTGTGGAGACTAGACAAAGTGACCTATAGATGTTCTATGAAATGTTTTTCTGTAAGGTCAGCCTCCTCTCTGAGAAACATTTTACATAAAATGGTTGTGATGGCCCTGACCAGTGTGGCTCAGTTCATTGGGCATCCTTACACAAAGCAAAAGGTCACCAGTTCAATTTCCAGTCAGGGCACATGCCTAGGTTGCAGGTTCAGTCCCCGGTAGGGGCACATAAGAGAGGCAACCTATCGATGTTTCTCTTTCATGTCAATGCTTCTCTCTCTCTCTGTCTCCCTCCCTTCTCTCTCTAAAAATAAATAAATAAAAATCTTTAAAAAATAGTTATGATAAAAGAGATACTTCACCAAATGCAAATAATGTTTATTTTGTAATGGTAGGAATATAGATAATTTTTTCTTGTTTTTGATGCTTCCATACATTTTTTTCTACAATTAATCAGAATGATTATAAAGAAATAAAAAAAATATTTTTAGAAGCAAGAACATGCCCATGGCCTCTGAGCTCTTTTGATTATATACGCTCTCAATAAATTACTTTTGAACTTGCAACCTCCTATGTGTGTGTGTGTATACAGACACACACACACACACACACGTGCATCAATTGTACATATTTTACCATCACTGACTAATAATCTCAAAACTCAATGTGCCCTTAGGGTGAAGTTTCACTTTTTTATTAGCAGTTGTGGTTCCATACTTCAAATAATCTTATGGATCATTTCTAGTTGTTCTTTTGGCCTATTTTCTTGACAGATCAGATGAAATTGTCACTGTTTCTTTACCCCATAATGTGTCTGACAAAGAGTTCAAGGTTCTCTTGTGCTTTCTTGAGTAGTGTTGTCTTCAGACTGTAATCTTTGAGGAATCTTGTTAAGCCATGTGTATTTTTGTAAAGGTCTAGTTAAAACTAGACAATAGGTAAATCCACTTAACTGGGCACATGAAAAGAGCAATACTTGGAAATAGGATGAAAGCAACCGAGCAAATGCACCACAGGCAGCCCCCTGCACTGGGCGCTCCATCATCCCTGGTGCACCCGCTCATACCGCACCGTCTGCTGTGTGGTCTGATAGTGAGAGTGTAGGGGCACTTCCTGTCTTTTTTATTGGTTTGATCCAACATGTATGCTTGTAATATAACATATATACATGTGTATGCATATTTGTATACAGAGAGTTTTTCTCTCTGTCATCAGTGGATAATCTTGAGCATCCTGTGTGTGGGCATACCTGTGTTGGAGAACACTAGAAATGACACCCAGAAAGATACTCTAAACAAGGGACTTTATGAAAAATGGGTCACAGTTATGATCTTTCTTTTAAATCTCTGACTCTATAACAGCCAAAGATTGCTCAATGTACCTGAAAATTAGTCTGTGCAGTACCTGAGTAAGGAATGGAACAGTCAACTATACATTCGTGGGATCCACATTAGGGCAAGATGGGGCCAGACTGAAGCTGGGACAAAATGGCCTTCAAGAAAGAAAATGCCACCTGCAGGAGAGAAAACTGATTGTGATCTACTGGTGGTTTCAACTCTAATTGTTTGTATGCAGAGGCCCTTAGCATTTTATATTTGAAAGAGTCACTCAGTCAACCTTTTACCTGATAGAAATTCAACTCCATAAACATTTAGTGAGTGCCTACTGTGTGCCAAAAACTATTCTGGGTATTGAGGATACAGTCCCTGGCATTAGGGGGCTAGTTTGGAAGAAACACAGGAACAGAACCATCATATTATGTGACAACACGGTTTGATGAGGACACAAAGGCAGGAATGCCTACCTTTGTCAGGCTGCTCCCGGAAGGTTTCCCTGTGAGCGTTCACCTTAGCATCCCAGAGGATGCCGCCCAGCCTCTACCAGAGTATTTCCAGAGCCCAGAAGCAGGGGGCAGGGAGGAGGGG